GAGGCATGTTTTGACTCGATCGACGCCGTATCCTTGGCGGCCCGCAACCAACAGATTTCCGAGATCAAAGATCGCTTGTCGCACCTTGAGACGAGGCATATTGAGGAGTGCAAAGCTATCAAGGAGTTAGAGGGGTGTGTGGAGAATATTGACGTGAAGCTTCGCTCTTTACAAGGGCAAAAAAGAGAAAATGTTTCCCTTATTAAGCGACGTCAAAGAGTTAATGAGAATATCATCATTCAAATTGCTGAAGTCAAGGATGAACTCGCTGCCGTAGAGAATGTCCCTGCGCAAGCCGAAGAATACTTAAAAAGCTTAGAAGAGTTGTTGGATATTAGCAAAGAAGAGTTGTATAATCTTAATGTTTAAGATCAATTTGTACTCTTCATTTTGATTGCCAATCAATAAATTTAAACTCTTTGTTTTTTTTTTCTTCTTGGGCATTTTTTTACCCAAATCCTTTATTATATATATATATATTTTTATTTATTTGTTCGACTGAACTTGAAGGTATATCTCAAGCTGCCTACGTACCCGGTAAAGGGATCAAGTCATAACGTAGTTCAAAGCAACTTGAATTTGCTTTTATTATTATTTTGCAGTTTATTCTCATGCTAAAGAGTCTTGATTTGATTTGAAGGTCTCACGCATAATATCTTTTGAGGAACCTCCCGTTGATTGGCCCTATGCAGAGTCCGTCTTGAGATGTCAACTTGTATGCACCATTTGTGTAGACCTGAGTGACGACATAGGGTCCATCCCACTTGGATAAAAATTTATTTCCCGAACGAAAGTTGATCACAATGGGCCTTCTCATAGCAAGAAACAAGTCCCTGATTTGAAAAGATCGTGATTTAACTTTTTTTATTGTAAGCTCGAGACAATCGTACTTGATAACACTCCAGTCTTTGTTGAGCTTGTAGTCTTTTCTCGTCAAGAGCCTCTACCTCTTCGAGTCTTAATATGACATTTTCTTCGGTTGTCAATTCTTCCTGAAGAGCAATCCTTAGTCAAGGAATTTTTCTTTCTAATGGGAGGACAACTTCGACCCCATATACAAGTGAGTATGGTGTCGCTTGTGTTGGAGTGCGGAATGTAGTACGATAGGCCCACAAAGTTTCACCAATGCGGTCATGCCAATCTCTTTTTGATTTGGAAACAAACTTTTTCAGCAAGTTACAAAGTATTTTACTGAATGCCTCTGCGAGTCCATTTTCCCGTGCATAATACATCGAGGACTTCTTTTGTTGGAAGCCAAAATTTTCACAAAGCTTTTCGATGTGAATATTGGCGAAAGATCTTCCATTATCAGTGATGATACACCGATGAACCCCATAACGGTAAATGATATTGACTCGTATGAAGTCAGCTACCGTCTCCTTTTTGACTTCTTTCAAAGTAACTACTTCTGCCCATTTGGAGTAGTCTGTTGCAGCCAAGATATAGAGATGTCCAACGGACGACTTTGTGAGTGGTCCTACGACGTCCATGCCCTAGGTATCGAATGGCCACGAAGCAATAGTTGGGTGGAATGGTTCCGGTGGTTGATTGATAAATTTAGCATGAAATTAACACGGTTGGCATCTCCATGCAAACTCTATATAGTATTTAACCATGGTTGGCTAATAATACCCCATCCTTTTTATTCGGAAGTGTAACTTTGGGCCAGCTTGATGAGCTCCACAGATTCCAACATGAGTTTCCTCCATAGCTTGTTTGGCTTGATGATTGCCAAGGCATCGAAGGAACATATTGTCGAACGATCGACGATAGAGTATGCCGTTGAAGTAGGCATAGCGTGCAACTCTTCTTCGGATATCTGCTCGTCTGCGCGGTTCACTCGGGAGCTTGTCATATTTTAAGAAATCTAATATTGGTTGCCGCCAATCTTCTTCTTCTTCTTCAATTTCAAACACCTCGATGAGGTGATTTACTTCTTTATCAACACATTCTTCTTCTTCATACTTGCAGGAATCCACCCAAACTTTGCGTATCGGAATATACACATGTTGATCCAGGATGGATAGAGTCGATGCCAGTTTAGCCAGAGCGTCAGCTTGTCCGTTCTCTTTCCTCGGGACATATTCAGTAGAGACATCCCTGAGCAACTCAATGAGTGCCTTAGCATACTTTAAGTAAGGCATCAGTTCTGGTTTCTTCACTTCAAACTCTCCAGTGATTTGATTTAAACAAGCTTGGAGTCCCCGTATACTTGAAGTTGGCGTTGCTTGATGTCTACCGCCATTTTTAGGCCGAGGATGGCTTGATACTCAACCACATTATTTGAACACTTTTCTTTTAAGGCAAAAGAGTGTGGAAGAACTTCTCCTTGTGATGTGACAAATATTACTCCGGCTCCAGCTCCATTTTTGTGTGATGAGCCGTCAAAATACATTTTCCACGGTGGGGTAATTTCGACAAAAAGTGCGTCTTCATCAGGGAAGTCGTCAGACAACTCCCACTCAGCGGGGATGGGATGATCAGCAAGGAAGTCAGCCAATATTTGTCCTTTTACAGCTTTTTGTGGTACATAAATGATTTCGAATTGTTGCAGCTGCAGGTACCACCTTACGAGTCGATCAGAAAGGACAGGCTTTGACATGACATATTTTAAGGGATTTGCTTTGGACACCAACCGGATAGTGTGCGCTTGAAAATAATGCTTCAAATTTTTTATGGCGAAGATGAGCGCCAAGCATATCTTTTCCACCGGTGAATAATTTAGTTCATTTGGTGTCATCATTCTACTGAGGTAGTAGAGGGCATTTTCTTTCCCTTTATTGGCTTTCAGTGCTAACAAGGCTCCAACTGAACGTTCATGTGCAACGATGTAAAGTATCAACGGATGTCCAGGAATTGGCGCTGTCAGCACTGGTGGCTTTGTCAAGTAGTCTTTGATAATTTGGGATGCCTTCTTGCATGTTTCATCCCAATGGAAAGACACTCATTTCTTCATGATTCGGCCGAAAGGTTGACATCGTCCAGCGAGGTTAGAGATAAATCTTCTTATATATGCTAATTTCCCTTGTAAGCTTTTTAGCTCGTGGATGTTACGAGGCTCAGGCATTTTTGTGATGGCATCTATCTTTGCCTATTCAATCTCAATTCTACGACTATGGACAATGAATCCGAGGAATTTTCGGAGGTGACTCCAAAAGCGCACTTGAGAGGATTCATTTTTAATTGGTAGCACCTCAACCTATCAAAAATCTTTCTTAAGTATTGCAGGTGATCTTCTTTTCTCTTGGATTTGACAACCAAGTCATCAACATAGCACTCTACATTTTTGTGTAGCATGTCATCAAAGATCTTTTGCATTGCTCTTTGGTAGGTTGCCTCAGTATTTTTCAATCCGAAAGGCATAACTTTGTAACAGTAGATACCTTTCGGTGTACGAAAGGCGGTTAACTCTTCGTCTTCAGGTGCCATACGAATTTGGTTATATCCAGATGATCCATCCATAAAAGAAAGCGCTTCATGTCCTGTCGTTGCATCAATCATCAATTCAGTTATGGGTAAAAGAAAATCATCTTTTGGGCATGCTTCGTTTAAGTCCCGGAAATCCCCACAAACTCGGATTTGTCCATTCTTCTTCTTTACAAGCACGATGTTGGAAATTCATTGAGGGTATTTGACTTTAAGGATGAATCCCACTTGAATAAGTTTGTTGACTTCATTTTCAATTTGAGGGACGAGTTCAGGACGGAATCTTCGTTGCGCTTGCTTTACAGAGCGAGCTCCCTTCCTCACACCTAGATGGTGGACCGCAACTTTCGGGTCTAAGCCGGGCATTTCTTTATATGACCAAGCGAAGACGTCTTGGAATTCGTTCAGAAGTTGGGTGTAGGCATTCATATCATCCTCACCCAGCTCTTTGCTGAGATAGACGGGTCTTGGTTGATCTTCAATTCCCAAGTTGATTTCTTCTAACTCGTCCACTGCAGCTTTGACCCCTTCTTCAAGCGCGGCGGGTGCATTTCCTACATCTTCTTCAATCATTGTCCCTTCACCCCCTTCAGTGATGTAGCAGGATGATGCAACACTTTCTTCATTATCTTCTTTGGGTTTGGTGAAGACAACGGTTTGCCATTTAGCCTTTAAAACTTTACCGCAATGTATCGTCATTTTTGTTTGACGCGTCATGCGGGATGGAAAACGGCTTTTGATTTCTTCATCCATCTCCACATATTTTGTTGATGTGGAATTCGTCTTGTTTTTCTCTTTATTGATCTTTGGTCCTAACCTTGTGAAGACAAAAGGTTTTAGCCTCTTGAAGACCAATACTTTTGTATTATTACCCTTTTAAGGTGAATTGAAAGACAAGCTCTCGCTTTCGGTGAAATGATGGTTTGTGGCCATTTTGATACCGATGCGTACGGGAGGTTGTGGCATGTATCCAAGACAAGCCCTCGAACCTTGGGTTGTCTGTGGTGGTAACTTTCCCAGCAGTGACTCCTCATTTGGATTATATCCAGCTTTTGTGAGAAGTTTGTAGGCTTTTGGGCCAAAGCTTTTGTTCTTTTGCAACTGCATAGCCTCTATTTTTATTTTTTTTTCCGTTCCTTGTCTATGAGGGGGAGATTGGGTTGAGTGGGGTCTTCGGAAGAGTCAAATCTTTCAGAGACTCAATTAATGAGTCTGCAGAACCTGAGGCAGGTGTTTTTTTCTTTATCTCTTGACTTTGTCCCCAAGTTTGGTTGTGGTGCTTTGACATATTCATGTACCTTGGATTTTTTTGCTTCTGTAGAAAAATATTTGGCATCCGCAAAGTGTGACTCGGCTTCTGTATATGGCTTTGTGTCTCCAAAAACTTTCTTTATCACTCCATTTTGAGTGTATTTGAAGCATTGGTGCCACGTTAATGGAACTACACCATTCTCATGTATCCATGGTCTTCCCAAAAGAACGTTGAATGATGTCTTTGCATTTATAACGTAGAACAAAGGGTTAGTTTCCATTTCATCGATTAACAGTCTCAATCTTATGGTGCCAAGTGCTCTTTACCCCTCTTGATTGTATCCATGTATTGTCATACGACTCTCGAACAATTGATCTACTGGTATTCCCAATTTTTGCAATATGTATAGAGGAAGGACGTTGACTGCGGCTCCTCCATCTAAGAATATCCGGCTAATCCTTTGCTCATGGATATAACCCACGACCAGTAATGGACGATTATGGGGTTTGGATCCTAACATCAAATCTTCATCAGTGAAAGTTATCGTGGCACATTCTTCGCTCGATTTGTCTTTGATCGCCTTGCCATCTTTGGTAGTGAGGCAATATGATTCTTTATCTTTTATGTCAACTTCGAGAGACCCGAACATGATTGAATTGACATTAATAGCAACAGAATCGTCTTCAAGGGTGATCTTTCCTTCATGAACCAACTCCATGACTTTGTCCTTAAAGATGAAACAATTATGGATGGGATGTCCTACGAAACGATGGTATTTGCAGTATTTTGGATCATCAACCTTTCCAGCTTCCTCCGGTCTTTTTGAATTTGGGAGTTCAATGAGGTTTTCTCTGAGTAGATCGTCAAAGATGCCCGAGACGTCGGAATCCAGGAAACGATAAGTTCTGGATTGCAACTCTTTAAGGGTGGGTCTTGGAGGTCTGTTTGTCTAAGTTGACTGTCTTTTCCTTGCAACTTCCTTTTGGATCTTTACTGGTGCTTTGGTCGTCGCTTTTATGGCCAAGGCTTCTTTTCCGAAAGACTTGATAGGGGCGTTGTTCCTCTTCTTTGCGGCATCATATCTTTCGTATCTTTTTGCTTTTGAAGATTCTTGAACTGGTGGTCCATGCATCCCGCTTGAAGCCATACATAACTCCATGTCATGAGCGCGGGCAGCAAGTTCTTCGAAAGTGCGGGGTCGGATCCCTTGCAGGATGTATTTCAACCCCCAATGCATTCCTTGGATGCACATCTCTATACCGGAGGCCTCGGACAACGGGTCTTTGCAGTTCAAGCTCAGACTGCCCAAGCGGTTGATGCAGTCAATTGCTGGTTCGTCTTTCCATTGAAGAGTATTGGTGAGTTCTGTCATACTGACGGTTCTTTTCGTGCTGTAGAACCGGTTCAAGAACTCGTACTTCAACTGCTCCCAACTGTGGATGGAACCAGCCTCCAGGTCGATATACCAGTCGAAGGCGTTGCCTTTTAATGACCGTACGAATTGCTTCACCAAGAGATCGCCGTATGTCCCAACGTTATTGCATGTTTCCATGTAGTGTGCCACATGCTGCTTTGGGTTGCCTTTGCCATCAAATTGTTGGAACTTCGGCGGTTGATATCCCAACGGCATCTTGAGGGTGTCGATCCTTGGAGTCGGATGATGCTTGAAATGACATTGGTCCCGCCATTTTTTCTTTACCATGGCGTTGATCCGTGGATGCTTCCGCTTCGCCTCGGGTCTCTGGAGCATTATAGTTAGTTGGTTTTTGGCTTGTCCAGTTTTGCAACCAGCTTTACGATGACATTGTCTTGTTGCTGCATGTGTTGAGACATTCCTTCAGCAACTTTGGCCAGTGCAACGAGTTGGTCTTCTATGTTTAAAGCGTTCGTGGTCATCCCCGGGGCATAACTTGATGCCGTCGAACGAGTTGCAACTTCTTGAGGGGTGACTGGTGCGGAGGTACTCTTGAAGCTTTTGTCCTCCTTATAAAATGAGTTTTGCTCTGTGATTTTCGGATATGCATCCTCGGAAAATGACAGTGCTCTTTTAGCCATGCTTCGTGTCATCACTCTAGCATTCGTTGAAACACTTGAGGTTCTTGATGTAGTAGCAACAACTCCTTTGGCGGCGGCTAGAGCAGCAGCTTTCGACACAGCGTTGGAAGTCTTGATCTTGTAGGAAACCATTGGTCATGCCAAAAATCTGTAGACAAAAAAAAAAATTGTGTTATATTTTTATAAATACAAAATAGTATAAATTACATTTAATTTAAATATATGCGGGTTCTATTCTCTATTCGGATCCTTTGATTCTCTTCCCGGGTCGATCCATTTTTCCAACTTGGATTTGGGTGGCTTCTTTGATCCGAAAGGGATTTTGCTCTTCGGTTTTGCTTTGCCGGCTTTTGGGGGCTTTAGCATCCGTGTTGGTGATTTTGATCGTTGATTTTGGATTGATGCCTCCTTTGGATTATCCAACGGAATTTGATCTTTTAAGGAGTAGATTTGGTGCTCCATAACGCTTTTGGCGGTGTGTCCCTTTGACTTTTGAATCGAAGAGGGCGAGTTTGTGCCTTTGATGAAGAACGTGATGAACATCTTGAAGCTTTGGGAGCGACTTTGGAGGCTCTTGCTTGGCTTTGATGGATTCCTCGATAGCTTTGGGAGCTTTGATCCTTCATCCGGCTCGGACATACGACGAAGAACGTTAACTCTATATCAACCAATATTGGATCATTTGTCCAAATCGGTGACTTGTCGAAGAAGAACGCTTTGAAGGACACGAAGAACAATGAAGAACATTGTAGAGAGACTTACCCTTGCGCGAGTCTTCAAATGAACTTCGGTGTGTAATGAATTGGCCAAGACTCCTCTTTATATGGGAGGGTGGCCTTGGCTTCCTTTTCGGATGGTGCCACGTGGCGCGTCCTGATTGGCCAATATAAAATTTTTATAATATTTCCTTTTCCATCAGATGCTGTTTTCCATTCTTTACGGATTTGATTGTGCACCTTCCTTTTTCACCAAAATCTTTATATCATTGTCTTTTTTGAAAGATATTAATTTATATACTTCCTTTATTGACAAGATTTATTTATTTTGCTGCCAAATTTATTATGACTCTATTTATGCACGTAATATTTGTACGATATATTTCATTTTAAGCAGATTTTTGCATTAATGGTTGATATTTATTGTACAAAAATTAACATATGTACATAATTAAATACCATATATTTATATTATTGAAATTTTATTTTCTTCCAAAATACATAATATTTAATGTAATTTAGACATTTAATTTTTAATGCCTACAATAATATATAGATATATGTAAAGGGTTGAATGATAGGTGAATTGGTTATTTAATTATAGAAATAATGGATCGTTTCAAAATAATCGTTTATGGTTCAATTGGAATTATATATGCTGTAGACAAAAAAAAAATTGTGTTATATTTTTTTATAAACACAAAATCGTACAAATTACATTTAATTTAATATATGCGGGTCCTATTCTCTATTTGGATCCTTTGATTCTCTCTCCGGGTCGATCCATTTTTTAATTTGGATTTGGGTGGCTTCTTTGATCTGAAGGGACTTTGGTCTTCAGTTTGACTTCATCGGTTTTTAGGAAACTTTGGTATCCGTGTTGGCGATTTTGATCGTCGACTTTGGATCGATGCCTCCTTTGGATGATCCGACGGAATTTGATCTTTGAGGGAGGGATTTGGTGCTCCATAACGCTTTTGGCGGCGTGTCCCTTTGACTTTTGGATCGAAGAGGGCCTGGTTTGCGCCTTTTATGAAGAACGCGACGAACATCTTCAAGCTTTGGGAGCGACTTTGGAGGCTCTTCCTTGGCTTTGATGGATCCCTCGATAGCTTTGAGAGATTTGATCCTTCCTCCGGCTCGGACATACGACGAAGAACGTTAACTTCATCGATTCGTCAACCAATATTGGATCATTTGTCCAAATCGGTGACTTTTCGACGAAGAACGCTTCGAAGGACACGAAGAACAATGAAGAACATTGCAAAGAGTCTAGAGAGACTTACCCTTGCGCGAGTCTTCAAATGAACTTCAGTGTGTAAATGAATTGGCCAAGGCTCCTATTTATAGGGGAGGGTGGCCTTGGCTTCCTTTTCGGATAGTGCCACGTGGATGGAAAGATTTTATAATCTTTCCTTTTTCATCGGATGCCGTTTTCCATTTTTTGACGGATTTGATTATGCACCTTCCTTTTTCGCCAAAATCTTTATATCATTGCCTTTTTTTGGAAGATATTAATTTATATACTTCCTTTATTGACAAGATCTTTATATCATTGTCTTGTTTGGAAGATATTAATTTATATACTTCCTTTATTGACAAGATTAATTTATTTTGCCGCCAAATTTATTATGGCTCTATTTATGCACGTCATATTTGTACGATATCTTCCATTTTAAGCAGATTTTGCATTAATGGTTGATATTTATTGTACAAAAATTAACATATGTGCATAATTAAATACCATATATTTATTTTATTGGAATTTTATTTTCTTCCAAAATACATGATATTTAATTGATTTTAGACATATATTTTTAGTGTCTACAAAATGCCCCCTCGAGACTTGTTTAAGCCGACGCAAAATGTTTAAGGCGTGAACGAGTCTCGAAATATAGAAAAAGAATTTCTTTTTTTCTCTTTTTTTTTTTTTTTTTGCCATTTTTTTTTTGGCAAAATTGGCAATTTTTTTTTGCTTTTTTTTGTAAATGGCGTTTTTGCCATTTTTTTATGCAAAATTGTTTTTTTTTTTTTTTAATGGCATTTTTGCCATTTTCTTTTTTTATGCAAAATTGGCATTTTTTTTTTGCAAAATTCTCTTTCTCTTTTTTTTTTTTTTTTATATATATATATATATACACATATCATATATATATATTCTTTCCTTTATTCTTTGTTTTTATTTTTTTATCTTCCTTCCCTTTTTTTTTTTTATTTCCTTATCTTCTTTCTTCCCTTATGCATGTCTTTCCATGTCTCAATTTTTAGACACTATATAAACCCCTCACCATGAGAGAACTTTATCATTCTTCATTCTCAACTTCTCACAATTTTGATTTCTCTCATTCTAGGGTAGGCTTATTTCTCTTGTGTTGTTGTTGTTTTTTTTTTTTCTTTTTTTTTCATCTTTTGATCTTTGCTTATATATACATATATATATTTTTTGTAGGCATGGCTTACTTCAAGGATGTCTCCTCCCCCTCTAGAAACGCCGAGTTGATGATTTGCGAGTTTGAAGGTCAACCGCTGGACAAGGCGACTCGTCTATTGGTGCATCCACCACTCATAGGACGCGGAGCTACTCGCCCTCGCTTGGAGGTCCCAAATTTTTCAAAGACGTGGTCTCGGAATGTCGCTGGCGGAAAACATACTTTGCAATCCTCACTCCATCAACACATGCCAAACGATGTTCTTCCACTTCCAACCTTGGGGCGGCGGATCATGGAGGGAGCGTGCGTTTGGAATGGTCTTCCTTCATTTGATGGCAACTTTTCGTACGTGGCCGGCTATTGGGAATGGGCGGAGGATGTGCTGGATCGATGCGAGATTCAACTAAAGAGAGGATGCATTTACGATGCGGTCTATGCTTCCTTGTTCTCCTGCGACTATTCTCCGGAGATCGTCAAGGCCGTTTGCGAGGCGTGGTGTCCCAGAACCAACACCCTTTTGACTGCCGCCGGTGAAGTGTCGATCTCTCTCCGTGACTTGGCGTCCTTGGCGGGCCTTCCCATACTCGGCTCATTTTACGAAGAGGTGGTACCAAGCACAAAGGAGCTATATGACAGTAAAGAGGATAGGAAGCTGGTTCCCCGTTCGTGCCGATACCTGTTGCATGCCTATCACCTTCTTCGGAGTCGTGACAAAGGTCGACGTGGCGTCCGCACAACCGACTGGATTTCTTTTTGGTGCAAAAAGACCGTCAAATACAAGCGTCCTCAAATTCGTCGTGGCAAGGAGTCTACTCGTTCTTCTCGGCCTGATGCGACTTACAATCCTACCGGAGAGATTGGTGCCCACGAGCCATGGTCGAAGGCGCAAGAGTCATCTTTTGCCAAACTCAAAGTTGGACGGGAGCACCTTGAGGAGACTTTTCTCGCAGCGTTCCTTTCTTGTTGGCTTTGCATCTTTGTGCTTCCGCTCGACGATGTTGGTTTGATACGTCCTTCAACTTTCAAGATGGCAAGTGTCCTAGCGTCGGGATTTCCAGTAAGCTTGGCCATTCCAGTCTTAACTAGTATTTATAGAGGGCTAAACCAGATTGCGGATTCATCATGTCCTGGGAAAGTTCGGTCAACAATTTCTCTCCACTTTTTGACCGGATGGATCGCTGAGTATTTTCAGACCCACTACGGCGTATGGAAGGGAATCCGTGGTCCGGGGATGGTGAAGCACTCCGGGGCTGTTAGTGCTCGTGCGTATAGAGCAGATGTTGCATGCCGAAAGATCTTGCGCGGTGACTACTTTCGTTGGGCTTGCACCATGATCACGAAAGATTTCGACGTACGGTTTGTTGATGACGGGAAGCGCGAAGACTACGAGCAAGAATACTTCATCTCCATTCGCTCTTGTTTTCTGACTTTGCGGGATGGATTTCGATGCTTCGTGGAGCCGTATAGTCCCCACCGTTTTTGCCGTCAATTTGGTTTTTTCCAAGAGATTCCCGGAGTTCTTTTGAAAGACATCCGTTGCTGCGCTTTTGAGGAAGGCTATCAACATTGGCACCAAAGTACTTACTTGAAATCTTCAGCCGAAGTTATTCTTCCACGCATTCCTGCGATTCCGAGGGGATTTTCTTCCGACGTATACAAGATGTGGTGGACTCAAGTTTGCGGGTCTTTCTTGGATAAGTATATCCTGCCGGTACAAAAGACCACCGATCAGACCAAGCCATCGGATAAAGCTCGAAAAATGCCGCTACTTATCTCGGGTGTTCCTGAGAGGAACAATGGAAATTCAAGTACTCACAATGTCGGTTCTTCAAAGCGGGCGGTACCCTCTGTCTCTGAACGAAGCAGTAGTGAGCATGATGTTCATTGGAAGCGAGCTCGTCGAGATCCTCATATCATCAACCCGTCAAGTCCTCGTTCGAGCCGACACCATTCTTCGAGCAATTTCGCGAGAGAGGTAATTTCTTTCTCTTTTTTTTTTCCTTTTTCTTTTTTTTTTTGACATGATCCGTTTTTTTTTTATCCCCTTTTTCAGTTGGAGCAAAGAATCCCGAGTATGGATGAAAAGATGGCGAGCCGAGATTCCATTGTTGAGGTGATTGGAGAAAGCAGAGGTGTTTGCAATGAGCAAGTAAAGGATGCTCCAACCAAGCCCATAGTTGTTCATTCCGTTGTGCCCGCGGTTTCAGAATTCTGTGGCGCGGATTTTGTGAAAGGGATCCAACGCGAATATATAGGAAAAGTATGGTCGGATCTTCGGGGTAAGCTTTTGAGGACACCAGCTCGTTTGCTTTCCTCGATTAAGGACGAGGTTGATGTAGTGCTCCAATCAATGAAAAGCTTTCAGTATTCTGACATTTCTCATATTGAGGACCGAGTCAAAGCCCTTTTTGATGACGTTGCATCTTTTGATGAGGCATGTTCTGACTCGATCGACGCCGTATCCTTGGCGGCTCGTAACCAACAGATTTTCGAGATCAAAGATCGATTGTCGCACCTTGAGACGAGGCATGTTGAGGAGTGCGAAGCTATCAAGGAGTTAGAGGGGTGTGTGGAGAATATTGACGTGAAGCTTCGCTCTTTACAAGAGCAAAAAAGAGAGAATATTTCCCTTATTAAGCAACGTCAAGGAGTTAATGAGAATATCACCATTCAAATTGCTGAAGTCAAGGATGAACTCGTCGCTGTAGAGAATGTCCCCGCGCAAGACGAAAAATACTTAAAAAGCTTAGAAGAGTTGTTGGATATTAGCAAAGAAGAGTTGTATAATCTTAATGTTTAAGATCAATTTGTACTCTTCATTTTGATTGCCAATCAATAAATTTAAATTCTCTTTTTTTTTTATCACTTTTTATTTATTTATTTATTTATTTGACTGAACTTGAAAGTATATCTCAAGCTGCCTACGTACCCGGTAAAGGGATCCTAGTCATAACGTAGTTCAAAGCAACTTGAATTTGCTTTTATTGTTATTTTGCAGTTTATCCTCATGCTAAGGAGTCTTGATTTGATTTGAAGGTCTCACGCATAATATCTTTTGAGGAACCTCCCGTTGATTGGCCCTATCCGGAGTCCGTCTTGAGATGTCAACTTGTATGCACCATTTGTGTAAACCTGAGTGACGACGTAGGGTCCATCCCACTTGGATAAAAATTTATTTCCCGAACGAAAGTTGATCACAATGGGCCTTCTCACAGCAAGAACCAAGTCCCCGATTTGAAAGGATCGTGATTTGACTTTTTTATTGTAAGCTCGAGACAATCGTGCTTGATAACACTCCAGTTTTGTTGAGCTTGTAGTCTTTTCTCGTCGAGAGCCTCTAGCTCTTCGAGTCTTAATCTGACATTTTCTTCAGTCGTCAATTCTTCCTGGAGAGCAATCCTTAGTGAAGGAATTTGTCTTTCCAATGGGAGGACAGCTTCGACCCCATATACAAGTGAGTATGGTGTCGCTTGTGTTGGAGTGCGGAATGTAGTACGATAGGCCCACAAAGCTTCACCAATGCGGTCATGCCAATCTCTTTTTGATTTGGAGACAACCTTTTTCAGCAAGTTACAAAGTGTTTTATTGAATGCCTCTGCGAGTCCATTTGCCGGTGCATAATACATCGAGGACTTCTTTTGTTGGAAGCCAAACTTTTCACAAAGCTTGTCGATGTGAGTATTGGCAAAAGATCTTCCATTATCAGTGATGATACACCGAGGAACCCCATAACGGTAAATGATGTTGACTCGTATGAAGTCAGCTACCGTCTCCTTTTTGACTTCTTTCAAAGGAACTGCTTCTGCCCATTTGGAGAAGTAGTCTGTTGCGGCCAAGATATAGAGATGTCCAGCGGACGACTTTGTGAGTGGTCCAACAACGTCCATGCCCCAGGTATCGAATGGCCACGAAGCAATAGTTGGGTGCAATGGTTCCGGTGGTTGATTGATAAAGTTAGCATGAAATTGACACGGTTGGCAGCTCCGTGCGAACTCTATACAGTCTTTAACCATGGTTGGCCAATAATATCCCATCATCTTTATTCGGAAGTGTAACTTTGGGCCAGCTTGATGAGCTCCACAGATTCCGGCATGAGTTTCCTCCATAGCTTGTTTGGCTTGATGATTGCCGAGGCATCGAAGGAACATGTTGTCGAAAGACCGACGATAGAGTATGCCGTTGAAGTAGGCGTAGCGTGCAGCTCTTCTTCGGATATCTGCTCGTCTGCGCGGGTCACTCGGGAGCTTGTCATATTTTAAGAAATCTAATATTGGTTGCCGCCAATCTTCTTCTTCTTCTTCAATTTCAAACACCTCGATGAGGTGATTTACTTCTTTTTCAACACATTCTTCTTCTTCATACTTGCAGGAATCCACCCAAACTTTGCGTATCGGAATATACGCCTGTTGATCCGGGATGGATAGAGTCGATGCCAATTTAGCCAGAGCGTCAGCTTGTCTATTCTCTTTCCTTGGGACATATTCAATAGAGACATCCCCGAGCAACTCAATGAGTACCTTAGCATACTTTAAGTAAGGCATTAGTTCTGGTTTCTTCACTTCAAACTCACGAGTGATTTGATTTACAACCAGCTTGGAATCCCCGTATACTTGAAGTTGGCGTTGCTTGATGTCTACCGCCATTTTTAGGCCGAGGATGAGTGCTTGATACTTAGCCACATTATTTGAACACTTTTCTTTTAAGGCAAAAGAGTATGGAAGGACTTCTCCTTGTGATGTGACAAATATTACTCCGGCTCCAGCTCCATTTTTGTGTGATGAGCCATCAAAGTACATTTTCCATGGTGGGGTGATTTCGAGAAAAAGCGCGTCTTCATCAGGGAAGTCGTCAGACAACTCCCACTCAGCGGGGATGAGATGATCAGCAAGGAAGTCAGCCAATATTTGTCCTTTTACAGCTTTCTGTGGTACATATATGATTTCGAATTGCTGCAGCTGCAGGTACCACCTCGCGAGTCGATCAGAAAGGACAGGCTTTGACATGACATATTTCAAGGGATTTGCTTTGGACACCAACTGGATAGTGTGCGCTTGGAAGTAATGCTTCAATTTTTTTATGGCGAAGATGAGCGCCAAGCATATCTTTTCCACCGGTGAATAATTTAGTTCATTTGGTGTCATCATTCTACTGAGGTAGTATAGGGCACTTTCTTTCCCTTTATTGGCTTCCTGTGCTAACAAGACTCCAACTGAACGCTCTTGTGCAGCGATGTAAAGCGTCAACGGATGTCCAGGAATTGGGGCTGTCAGCACTGGTGGCTTTGTCAAGTAGTCTTTGATACTTTGGAATGCCTTCTTGCATGCTTCATCCCAATGGAAAGGCACTCCCTTCTTCATGATTCGGCTGAAAGGTTGACATCGTCCAGCGAGGTTAGAGATAAATCTTCTTATATATGCTAATTTTCCTTGTAAGCTTTTTAGCTCGTGGATGTTACGAGGCTCAGGCATTTTTTTGATGGCCTCTATCTTTGCCTGTTCAATCTCAATTCCACGACTATGGACAATGAATCCGAGGAATTTTCCGGAGGTGACTCCAAAAGCGCACTTGAGAGGATTCATTTTTAATTGGTAGCGCCTCAACCTTTCTAAAACCTTTCTTAAGTCTTGCAGGTGATCTTCTTTTCTCTTGGATTTGACAACCAAGTCGTCAACATAGCACTCTACATTTTTGTGTAGCATGTCATCAAAGATCTTTTGCATTGCTTTTTGGTAGGTTGCCCCAGCATTTTTCAATCCGAAAGGCATAACTTTGTAACAGTAGATACCTTTCGGTGTACGAAAGGCGGTTAACTCTTCGTCTTCAGGTGCCATACGAATTTGGTTATATCCAGATGATCCATCCATAAAAGAAAGCGCTTCATGTCCTGTCGTTGCATCAATCATCAATTCAGTTATGGGTAAAGGAAAATCATCTTTTGGGCATGCTTCGTTTAAGTCTCGGAAATCCACACAAACTCGGATTTGTCCATTTTTTTTCTTTACAGGCACGATGTTGGAAATCCATTGGGGGTATTTGACTTCCCGGATGAACCCCACTTCAATGAGTTTGTTGACTTCATTTCAATTTGAGGGATGAGTTCAGGACGGAATCTTCGTTGCGCTTGCTTCACAGAGCGAGCTCCCTTCTTCACACCTAGATGGTGGACCACAACTTTCGGGTCTAAGCCGGGCATTTCTTTATATGACCAAGCGAAGACATCTTGGAATTCATTGAGAAGTCGGATGCAGGCATTCATATCATCCTCACCCAGCTCTTTGTTGACATAGACAGGTCTTGGGTGATCTTCATTTCCCAAGTTGACTTCTTCTAACTCGTCCACTGCAGCTTTGATCCCTTCTTCAAGCGCGGGGGGTGCATTTCCTGCATCTTCTTCAAGCGCGGGGGGTGCATTTCCTGCATCTTCTTCAATCATTGTCTCTTCTCCCCCTTGAGTGATGTAGCAGGATGATGCAACACTTTCTTCATTATCTTCTTTGGGTTTGGTGAAGACAACGGTTTGCCATTTAGCCTTTAAAACTTTACCGCAATGTATCGTCATTTTTGTTTGACGCGTCATGCGGGATGGAAAGCGGCTCTTGATTTCTTCATCCATCTCCACATATTTTGTTGATGCGGAATTCGTCTTGTTTTTCTCTTTATTGATCTTTTGGTCCTAACCTTGTGAAGACAGAAGGTTTTAGCCTCTCGAAAACCGATACTCTTGCATTCTTCCCCTTTTGAGGTGAATTGGAAGACAAAGTCTCACTTTCGGTGATATGATGATTTGCAGCCCTTTTGATAGCGATGCGTACGGGAGCTTGTGGCATGTACCCAAGACTAGCCCTCGAACCTTGGGTTGTCTGTGGTGGTAACTTTCCCAGCAGTGATTCCTCATTTGGATTATATCCAGCTTTTGTGAGAAGTTTGTAGGCTTTTGGGCCAAAGCTTTTGTCCTTTTGCAATCGCATAGCCTCTATTTTTTCTTCTTTTCCATTCTTTGTCTGTGATGGGGAGATTGGGTTGAGTGGGGTCTTCGGAAGAGTCAAATCTTTTAGAGGCTCAATTAATGAGTCTGCAGAACCTGAGGCAGGTGTTTTTTCTTTATCTCTTAACTTTGCCCCCATGTTTGGTTGTGGTGCTTTGACATCTTCATGTACCTTGGATTTTTTTGCTTCTGTAGAGAAATATTTGGCGTCCGCAAAGTGTGACTCGGCTTCTGCATATGGCTTTGTGTCTCCGAGAACTTTCTTTGTCACCCCATTTTAAGTGTATTTGAAGCATTGGTGCCACGTTGATGAAACTACACCATTCTCATGTATCCATGGTCTTCCCAAAAGAACGTTGAAAGATGTCTTTGCGTCTATCACGTAAAACAAAGGGTTAGTTTCCATTTCATCGATTAAAAGTCTCAATCTTATGGTGCCAAGTGCTCTTTGCCCCTCTTGATTGTATCCATGTATTGTCATACGACTCTCGAACAACTGATCTACTGGTATGCCCAATTTTTGCAATGTGTATAGAGGAAGGACATTGACTGCAGCTCCTCCGTCTAAGAATATCCAGTTAATCCTTTGTTCATGGATATAACCCACGACCAGTAATGGACGATTATGGGGTTTGGATCCTAACACCAAATCTTCATCAGTGAAAGTTATCGTGGCACATTCTTCACTCGATTTGTCTCTGATCGCCTTGCCACCTTTCTCGGTAGTGAGACAATATGATTCTTTGTCTTTTATGTCAACTTCGAGAGACCCGAACATGATTGAAGTGACATTAACAGAAACAGAATCGTCTTCAAGGGTGATCTTTCCTTCATGAGCCAACTCCATGACTTTGTCTTTAAAGATGAAACAGTTATGGATGGGATGTCCTACGACACGATGGTATTTGCAATATCTTTGGTCATCAACCTTTCCAGCTTCCTCCGGTCTTTTTGAATTCGGAAGTTCAATGAGGTTTTCTCTGAGTAGATCGTCAAAGATTCCCGAGACGTCAGAATCCAGGAAAGGATAAGTTTTGGATTGCAACTCTTTAAGGGTTGGCCTTGGCGGTCTTTCTGTCTGAGTTGATTGTCTTTTCCTCGCAACTTCCTTTTCTTTACTTTGGATCTTCATAGGTGCTTTGGTCGTCGCTTTTATGGCCAAGGCTTCTTTTCCAAAAGACTTGATAGGGGCGTTGTTCCCCTTCTTTGCGGCATCATATCTTTCATATCTTTTTGCTTTTGAAGATTCTTGAACTGGTGGTCCGTGCATCCCGCTTGAAGCCATACTTAACTCCATGTCATGAGCGCGGGTAGCAAGTTCTTCGAAAGTGTGGGGTTGGATCCCTTGCAGGATGTACTTCAACCCCCAGTGCATTCCTTGGACGTATATCTCTATACCGGAGGCCTCAGACAACCGGTCTTTGCAGTTCAAGCTCAAACTCCTCCACGGTTGATGTAGTCGATTGCTGGTTCATCTTTCCATTGACGAGTATTGGTGAGTTCTGTCATACTGACGGTCCCTTTTGTGCTGTAGAACCGGTTCAAGAACTCGTACTCCAACTGCTCGCAACTGTCGATGGAACCAGCCTCCAGGTCGATATACCAGTCGAAGGCGTTGCCTTTTAATGACCGTACGAAATGCTTTACCAAAAGATCGCCGTATGTCCCAGCGTTGTTGCATGTTTCCATGAAGTGTGCCACATGCTGCTTTGGGTTGCCTTTGCCATCAAATTGTTGGAACTTTGGTGGTTGATATCCCAACGGCATCTTGAGGGCGTCGATCCTTGAAGAGTAAGGCTTGGCATACATATTTGTTGGCCTTGAACTTCCTTCAAACTCCCTTTTGAGAGCTCCTTTGATGTACTCGTCAAGTTGGGATAGATGGATGAAAGAGTCAGATGATGCTTGAAACGGCATTGGTCCCGCCATTTTTTCTTTACCGTGGCGTTGATCCATGGATGTTTCTGCTTCATTTTGGGCCTCCGAAGCATTCTGGTTGGTTGGTTCCGGCTTGTCCAATTTTGCAAGCAGTTTTGCGATGACATTGTCTTGTTGCTGCATGTGTTGAGACATCCCTTCAACAACTTTGGCCAGTGCAACAAGTTGGTCTTCTATGTTTGAAGCGTTCGTGGTCATCACCGGGGCATAACTCGATGCAGTCGAACGAGTTGCAACTTCTTGAGGGGTGCCCGGTGCGGACGTACTTTTGAAGCTTTCGTCCTCCTCATAGAGCGAGTTTTGCTCTGTGATTTTCGGATGTGCATCCTCGGAAAATGATAGTACTCTTTTAGCCATACTTCGTGTCATCACTCCAGCATTCATTGAAGCACTTGAGGTTCTTGATGTAGTAGCAGCGACTCCTTTGGCGGTGGCGGCTAGAGCAGCAACTTTCGACACAGCATTGGAAGTCTTGATTTTGTAGGAAGCCATTGATCGTTTGAGAATTCGACGGAAAGAGAGATGAAAGGTAGAATTGTCCCACTGGGCGTGCCAAAAATCTGTAGACAAAAAAAAAATTGTGTTATATTTTTTTATAAACACAAAATCGTACAAATTACATTTAATTTAATATATGCGGGTCCTATTCTCTATTTGGATCCTTTGATTCTCTCTCCGGGTCGATCCATTTTTTCGACTTGGATTTGGGTGGCTTCTTTGATCCGAAGGGACTTTGGTCTTCGGTTTGACTTCGTCGGTTTTTAGGAAACTTTGGTATCCGTGTTGGCGATTTTGATCGTCGACTTTGGATCGATGCCTCCTTTGGATGATCCGACGGAATTTGATCTTTGAGGGAGGGATTTGGTGCTCCATAACGCTTTTGGCGGCGTGTCCCTTTGACTTTTGGATCGAAGAGGGCCTGGTTTGCGCCTTTTATGAAGAACGCGACGAACATCTTCAAGCTTTGGGAGTGACTTTGGAGGCTTTTCCTTGGCTTTGATGGATCCCTCGATAGCTTTGAGAGATTTGATCCTTCCTCCGGCTCGGACATACGACGAAGAACGTTAACTTCATCGATTCGTCAACCAATATTAGATCATTTGTCCAAATCGGTGACTTTTCGACGAAGAACGCTTCGAAGGACACGAAGAACAATGAAGAACATTGCAAAGAGTCTAGAGAGACTTACCCTTGCGCGAGTCTTCAAATGAACTTCAGTGTGTAAATGAATTGGCCAAGGCTCCTATTTATAGGGGAGGGTGGCCTTGGCTTCCTTTTCGGATAGTGCCACGTGGATGGAAAGATTTTATAATCTTTCATTTTTCATCGGATGCCGTTTTCCATTTTTTGACGGATTTGATTATGCACCTTCCTTTTTCGCCAAAATCTTTATATCATTGCCCTTTTTTGGAAGATATTAATTTATATACTTCCTTTATTGACAAGATCTTTATATCATTGCCTTGTTTGGAAGATATTAATTTATATACTTCCTTTATTGACAAGATTAATTTATTTTGCCGCCAAATTTATTATGGCTCTATTTATGCACGTCATATTTGTACGATATCTTCCATTTTAAGTAGATTTTGCATTAATGGTTGATATTTATTGTACAAAAATTAACATATGTGCATAATTAAATACCATATATTTATTTTATTGAAATTTTATTTTATTCCAAAATACATGATATTTAATTGATTTTAGACATATATTTTTAGTGTCTACATATGCGATCATATATCTGTGTTAATGAAATCATATTAATTTGTCTTTGGAGACAACTAAGCATTTGGTGGGTCATTGTGTATTATTAATATTATTTCAATGCTAATAAGTGAATTCATTCTCATTATATATAAATGACAGGCGTGTCTTTTCTTAGAACTGAATATAAATATGTGCAAAATTATAGAGCATTAAGAAATTAGTTGTTGCTCTTATTAATTTTCTTTTGTATTTGCATTGCATATATATATGTATATATATTTTGAGGTGATGGATTGGCATGATCTCCGGTGATGTTTGTACATAATCAATATCATATTTAATACTTTGTCATTTATACAGGGTCGTCTCGGCCTTTTTTAGGGTCATGAGCAAAATAAATGATAAGCTCTGTCAATAAATGATTTTTATTTTTTCAAAATACTATCAACAAACAATATAATACTCCTTCCGCCCCTTACTAATTTATCCATTTTTTCATTTTGGCCCGTCCTATAACAAAGTATTCATTTCTTTTTTTTAGTAATTGTACCATCAGGTTAATATTAAAAATAATCTTCCAATTTATAATATATTACACAAATATTATTACTTTTATATTATACAATACTAATAAGGTTATTTTAGTCTTTTTACTTTTATTTCTACTATATCTCAATATAATACTAATATTTTTAAAAGTCAGTGTAAAAAGAAAATGGATAAATAAATATGAGAATGAGGGAGTAATAAATTCCACAAAAATAAAAATTATATTAATTATATATACAATAATGAAATATATGTGTCAATCAGGAAGGACCGACTTGTGTGAAAGTGGACTGTCGGACTTAATTTGTGATACATATTTTGATTGTTGTAAAGTTTTACAATATCTTGACTATTATAAAGCCAATAACTTATTAATAATAATAATAACTATAAATTCTAAAGACGAAGAATATAAGATTAGAAAAAATTTAGTTAGAGTTTATAGAATTAGAATTTGATGGGGTAATTGTAAAAAAAATATGAGATAAAATATAATTAAATTTTAATATAGTAATAATTATGGACTTTAAAAATATTTACGAATTCTAAAGGCAATGAAGATGAATTAATATTAGAAAAATTATGGTTAGAATTTAATTTTAGAATTAAAATTAGATTAGGTAATTGTTGAGAAAAATATAGGATAAAATTTAAATTAAATTTTAAAATATTTAATAATAGCTAAAATTAAGAACATGTGCCCTCTTGAAGTAGAGGTCCTGAGCCATTGTTGAGGTTGCTCCTACTAAGAGCCGGTTCTGAATTTATATGTACATGCACATATGTCTGCAATCAAAATTTATTTATTTATTCTTATTGAAATAATTTATGGAAGGTCATGCCTAATTAATTGGTAACTTTCATACCATATTTATTTATCTATTTTAATGGCTGATTTTGTGATAATCTAAGGGTGTGTTTGGTACATAGAATTAGAAATGTTTCCATTTCTCTTGTTTGTTTGAGTCAGATAAATGGAAGTTGAGAAATAAATTATTTCTATTTCTCTATTTTCATTTCTCTTCTATATTAAGAGAAATAGAGAGAAATGATGTTCCACTAAATATATTTTTATTTTTTTTATTTTTTTGTACTATTTAATTTTTATAATTATTTATATTATATTATTTCAGTTTTACAAAAATTATTTTTAATTTATCATTCAAGTATTTTAATTTTTTTACAAAAATTTATAATAAAATATGATCTTACAAAACTTTGTATATAATTTATAATTTTTTATTTTAAAAAAGTCAATATAAATATTTTTTCATGATTCTCACTTGCTAAAACTCTCTTTTAGATTAATCATTTATTCTTGTCCGATCCATTCATTTTTTTTTTATATATTTATCAAGAATTAATTCTCATTTTCTACTCAATTCCCTTTCTCTCCAATTCTATTCTCTATTCCATTTCTCTGCAATTCCATTCTCTGTACCAAACGCCCCCTAGTATTCATTATGATTCGTCTGATGATTCAATTCAATTTGGGATAAAGTATCATTTGTTTTTAACAGTATGCATTTGTTCAAATTCGACTATAATTATTTAGAATATTGATTTATAGTCTCTTTGGGTGACATATTTTTGCCTATGTAATTCCGTTGGACTACTTAATTATTTTAATAAGTCCATAAATTAATTGATGTTGTTATAACTTTCATATATATTGGACATACATATTTATTTAAGGTGAATTTAATTAGCAATAAATAATATAATATATTTTATGAATTGGTTGAAGCAGTTATGTTGCCAAAACAGCCTCTGCTGGGTAAATCAGCTTATTTTATATATTAGAAGGTTGTGCGCGTGACTTATAAGACTGTTGATTAACCCAAAGGTAATTCAACGATTAAGTAGTTACATGCATATTTAGTGACTTTGAATGTGGTGATGATAATTTGGTTATTTGTGTGTGAATAAATGATCTGTCCAAAGACGGGGTATTGTTTGACACACTACTTTATTGTAAACATTTAATTGTCAAAATAGTTTTATCACTGGCGAGTCAGTAATTTGTCTAAAGACAATGGCTGATGTTGCTCGATAACTTGTGATAAAATTTCTAATTTATTTTATAAATTCACATAAGGAACATTCAATTTTTTATAAACATGTGCATTCAGTTGCTTATACGTATTCTTTATTTTTATGAAATTAGACTCGTATTTATTGAACGCAACTCTGATTTTAATTTGGTTTAAGAAATTATAAATTGATTAATATTGCTTGTTGCTTTTTGAAGGTGAAAATCAAGTACTTGACGTTGCCAAAGTAACCTCTCTTATATGAGATTTTTTACTTGATAACGTAAGTGTTTATTTGTGTACTTTAATTTATGTGATTATTCTTCGGCCCAAAGACAGTTGGTAATTGACATAATAAAATATACATCTGCGATAATATGTGTTAGATGATTATGGCTTTAACTTATGTGAATAGTGAATAAGTCCAAAGAGTGATTTACTGTTTGACATTACTTATTATTCATATATGATTATTGCAACAAGATGACTGCTAGCAAATAATGTTATTGATCCAAAGATTGATCATTATGTTGCACTTAGTATCTTGGGATGAGAATGCATTATTCTTGAGGTTCATTATGCCTTATAAATATTTATATATATTTTTCAGTCTGAACATGGTTTGAGAACAAATGTAAGCACTGAAAAGTATCAATTTTGATTCATTTGGACTGAATGAATCTTGACTTGACATTAAGAATAGACAAACCCACTTATACCGAGAAAAAACATTGCATATGAAAAGCAGTTGTTTGAGAAATGAGATAGATTCAACGCCTAAGTCTGATGATCATTAAGAAAAGCACTCTATAAAATTTTCAGGGTACGATATATGATGATATCACTACTGCCAAGAGTTCCTTGTCGAAATTAAGAAACGCTTTACCAAAGGCGATAAGGTGGAAATGAGTACTCTTCTTACGAGTCTCATTACCATAAAATATAATGACAAACATAACATAAAAGAGTACATCCTGAACATGTATAATATTGCTACTAAATTGAGGACACTTAAGTTAGACCTTTCAGAGGACATGTTTGTCCTATTGGTCTTGCTCTTGAAATTAATTTAATTTCAGTTCATAGACACACCTGGGGGTTAATTTTGATGTAAAAACTCACATCAGTTTGTCAATACAAGATTATTTCTATTGCCAAAAATCAATTGATGGTGAAAGATACATCTATATGAGTGACGACCAGAAGGTTAAAGTTGAAACCAATAACAATTTCAGATTATTATTAAGTACTAGTCATTATTTGAATTTGGATGAGACATTTTTTATGGTACCATCTTTAGTCGAAATTTAATTTTGATCTCTATTTTGAACAAATTCAGTTATTATTGTTCATTCAAAATAAAGGATTTTAGTCTCTTCCAGAATTCAAAATTGGGTTGAACTAGTACATTATTTGATGATAATAACCGTCATTTGTTTAATAGTATGACTTCATATTATGAATTACTTATTGAACATATTCGTACAACTTCTATGATTGCAGACCCGCTTAATTACTAAAGGATTTCCACATAAGTTCTATAATGAGCATGTTGCTCGTATGAGAGTGGAACCATATATGATATTTCAATTTAGTGGGAGCTAATTAGTAATGTTCAAATGTAGTTAAGGTTACTTTATTTTATACTACAGTATTCAGTATGCACTGTTTGGTATTAAGTTTTAATTAAGTTTTCAATTGTTCTGAATTAAAGTTAAGGTGGATCAGTTAGAAATAGACATGTTAAGATCACATTACATGAAATTTTCATGTTGTGCATTCGTACTTGATCGAATCTTAGTTTATATTGATGTTGTAACCACTGATCGGTCCCATTGCGATAAATGCAATTATGACCGCTTTGATCCGCATTGATGTGATTTTGAGATAAGATTGGTAAAATACATTAATGGATCTGATAGCAAAATTTTCATGAGCTCATAAGGTTATTAAGTATACGTTTACCCAAGTGGAAGATTGTTGGACTATAAATCCAATTGTGGTTAAATGTAACTATTTCCACTATTAGTCAGATTAAGTCTATATTAAGTGATCTATTAATTTATTAGGCTTAAATGTATTTAGTAAGTGCGGGTCTCCTATTTGTAGAAACTCGGTAAGTTATTAATTGGGTGATGAGACCAATTAATAATAAGAGATATATATAACGATTGTGATCCCAGGCCTAGACGCAACAGCACGAAAAATCCCTGAGTTTAGGGTTAAATTCTTAATAAGTTCCAACATTTAGGCAAACCAACTATAATTTTTTTTATAGGATTATTATTATTTTTGATCAGGAATATAAATTATTTGTTTTCTTGTTATATGTGGTCGATTGTTTTCCCTTTGGATGCAGCAAGGTCCCGGAGCTCGTTCATGGCGCTGTCAAACGCCGGCATATACTCCTCTTTCAGAGTGACGAGAGCCTCTACTCCATGCCCGATTCTCGTGTCCATTAGCCACACTGAATTCACCATCCGCAGCGACTTCGACTTCAAATCACCGCTCGTATCGCAACACGGCGCAATCCAAACTGGATTTCCCCATCCAAAATCAATGACGTAATACCCGAAGCCACACAAACTGGAGATAAGAAGAACATCAGACTCCTTAGGGCCTAACAGTTTGCTGCCAAAGAAATTATGAATCCCGCCATAGCCATCGTCTTGCAGACTGGTAACTAAATTCTCGTTGATCTTGCTTATTGCATCCCTCAATTTTCCCGTCAGGTCTGCCTGATCATGGTTTCCACTTCCTGCTACTGGCAACGAGATGAAATTACCGAAGCAGTCTGCCGGAAAAGGCGGCCGGGCTTTCCTTCTCAGATCGACCGCAAGCATCACAGAGGATTCCGATTTGCCATTTTCGAGGGATGCAGCCATGAAGCACTTCCAGAGGATTGCCGAGACAACCTCGACCTTTGTAACATTTTTTACGCTGCCGGAAGATTCGAGCTGCTGAAGGACTGAAATTGTAGAGGCGTCCAACACGTAGCGCTTCAACGCCCATTTGGCCGTAAGCTGAAGAGGGGATTGAATTGGAGGCTTGTCGACGAATTCGGGTCTGTGGGGGAAAAGATATTGGAAAATGTAGTTAGGGCAGACACCATTTTTAGATCCACGATTGGCATTTCCCCATGAAATCAAGAAATTTGTGATAGTTGTAGCATCAGCAAGCTTATGCCAGAAAACAACTCCCATGGCGATGCCGCCGCAGTCAAAGTAGTTGACTTGGATCATCAGGACCCTCGACTCCGGGTCAATCTCCTGCCAAATGAAGTCAACCCCCGGTACGAGGAGGCTTGGCAAATCGGTGCGATCTGGATTTTCTAGAAGATCGGACAGATTGTGGCCGGGGAACTTGGCGACTGTGAAATGAACTCCCTGATCGCTGCAGTCGATGGAGTGGCTGTTGTCGTCGAGGTTGACTCTCCCGGCGAAAGGGTAGAATCGGGTAAGAAGAGCCGAAAGGGATTTTTTCAGGTGGTGTGTAGTTTGAGAAATGAAAGAGTCAACGTCGTGATTGGAGGAGTGAGGAGAAGGAAAGTAGAGGACGACAGGGAGAAGAATTGATCTTATCATATGGTCGAGCTTCGTCAATTTGTGAATTTTGAGGTGTGGGGGAGTTGGTGAATCGGGCTTAATGTTGTCGCTGGACACGATGATCCTCTCCATTGGGAACAAAACTAGTGTTAGAAAAGACTGGTTTGTAGAAACCCTTTAAATGTGTATGCGATCTGTACCGATTAGTAATTCATCATATTTATAGAGGATGAGAATGCATGACATGTGAGCTATTTTGCTTATTTTCCTTTTATATTACAAAAGAAATGTATATGTTATAGCATCCGTAATAGTTACCTTTTCCGTTAACTCTTTTATTATTTTTCTTTTTTTTTTTTTTAAAGTGCGCACTGATCAACCTAATACCCTACAAATCAGATCCAACGGAAAAATCACAGTAGACGAACCATAACGAACATGTGTGGCAGGTGACTTGAGACGTTGGAGGTTTGAACCCGTGACCGTAAGTCCAACCCCTACTTTTCTACTTTTTATTATAACAAGATTTGTTACCTCTATTAGAAAATAGAGTTGATACCAATTTATTACCTTTATCAACAACCTATTACCTCTAAAATTTATTTCAAAAAATCACGACTCACTACATATTTTTCAATAATTATATATATATATATATATCCAATTTTAACATTTAAATTTTTTAAAATTTTTTTATTCAATCTCTTTTCAACTAGTTTTTTAACAAAATTATCGGAAAGGTCTAGCAATAAATTAATCCAAGTTTATTTCAATCATGATTTTTAAATGCCACTAATTTTATGAATTTGAATAATTTTAATATTTCATTATATAAAATTTTGTATAATATTCTTATAGTTATAAATTAATATTTTAAAGAAATATAATATTACATCATAAATATTTTATATATTATTAGATAATAAAAATATATAAAAATAAACAATTATAATAAATTTTATAAAATTATAAAGATAATGGAGTAAAGACACTTACCGTAACGAAAGCTCTTATGCTCCCACTCGCCTCCAAAATTAGTTGCACTCTCTTTCTAATTTATAAAAATAGTATAATTAATTTTGGCAAACGGACAAAGTATATAATATAATTTATAAAAAAAATATAATTAATTTTGGCAAACGGATCGAAGTATATAATATACACAATATACATACATAAATAATACAATAGTACTTCTTTTGTAGTTTTATTTAACAATTTTGGTCCATCCTAAAATAATAATTTTATTTATATTTTTGTAACTAGCGCTCTATATTTTTACAAAACTATTTTTATTTTTTTTATAATAATTATATAAAGTAAAAGCACTTTGGTCTTTTAAAAATATTTTTATACACAATATCAATATAATATTAATATTTTTTAATTCGCGTGTCCATCCCAAATGTCTTTATTGTTTTGAGGCGAAGATAGTACATATTTTTATATAACACAACATATATATAATACTATACTATGTGTTTGTTATATAAAAATGTGTTATGCAGTTCATATTTATAGATGTCTTATAAATATATTTTTTTTATACTCAAATCGACAGTAATATGTATTGAGTTAAATCAAAATAGTGTTAATTTGTTCTAATACTCATTTGATTAAATACATATATCCACAATACAACATATGATTTTACAAAAGATAGATGAAAATATATGCATGGTATGAAATTATATCAAAGGTAAACTGTTTTTTTTAGTCCCGTAACTGGACTCCCTTATCATTTTAGTCCCGTGAGAGGAGCATGTCGCAAACTAGCCTCATAAGTGAAAAATTTTCGTTGTTTTAGTCCTCCGGCGCCGAAGATGCCTGCGTGGCTCGCCGGAGGTGACGTGTTCGCCAAGTGTCGCTACATAGTATCTATCGCTGACCTAGCGGACACGTGAATTTTTTATTTTTTTTCATTTTTCTAAAACTTATTTTTAATTTATTTTTAATTTTATTTGTATTTTTATTTATTTGGTCCAATTAAAAAAAAAGATTTAAAAATTTTAAAAAATGAAAAAAAAAAATCCACGTGTCCGTCAGGTGTCGCTGACCTGGCGGGACACCTGGCGGACACGTCACCTCCGGCGAGCTACGCGGGCGTCTCCGGCGCCGGAGGACTAAAACAGCGAAAATTTTTCACTTATGGAACTAGTTTGCGACAGGCTCCACTTACAAGACTAAAATGATAAAGGGGTCCAGTTACGGGACTAAAAAAACAGTTTACCCTATATCAAATAATGTGAAACTTGTCTTTGTATTATATTAATACATATTATCAGTTGTCTATAGTTATATTATGTGGTATGTGTCAAATTTGTTGTGCCTAATGTAACGATGGCCATATATAGACTAGACGAGGGCATTAATTGTTAATAAAAATTGTAAATTCTCTATAGTTATATTATGTGATATGTGTCGAATAACTATATGATATGTGTCAAATGTGTTGTACCTAATGTAACAATGGCCATATATAGACTAAACGAGGGCATTAATTATTAACTATTATTTATTTTTTTAATTATATACAAGTAATTATAATTTCTTGTAAGTATTATCTTTTTTTTATTAGACTGCAAAATAAATGTGGGGGTACATGATGATCTGTCAGTATATAAAAGTAAACTAACATATATTTTAGATAATATAATATAACATATATTATATATTAAATAATATTATTTATTTGTATAATATATACTATTTACCTGTAATGACACAGGAGAAGGTTACGGTGCTGATTTGAAAATCAGCATTTATAAAATACAAAAATAATACAAGTTTTTATTAAAAACAACGCGTGCTATTTGTAATAATGATATGTGTTATTTGTTTATAATTAAATGTGTGTTGTACAAGTGTATGTCATTGTGCTGAAATGAATTGTTGTCTGTGTTGTATAAAACTATATCATGTGTTGTTAGTTCGTGTGTTGTGTTTGTATTACATAAATATAAATGATGTGTTGCCACTAACATTATCGTGTGTTGTTTGCTAGTTATATGTGTATTGTTAGTTCATATGTTGTGTTTATATTAAATTAATATGAATAATGTGTTATCACTAACATTACCGCCGTGTGCTATTTGCTAGTTATCTGTGTATTGTTCAGCACTGTAGCCACCGCCACTGATATATCGATCTAATCAAATCAATATCATACCGATTTGACCGTATCACAATGAAATTGGTGCCATAAAATAAACTAGCGTTTAAACCCGTGCATCACGGGATTATTATAATTAAACTTAATTGTTATATTATTTTTATTTAATTTAATAAATATTTGAAATAAATAAAAAATATATATCTTTAATTAAAAATACATAAAAATAAATTATTTTATAATTATAATTTTATTGTTAATAATTTATCAAAGAAAATTTGCAAAAGAAAAATTGATCATATTAACTATAAAAATACATAGGAAATTATCTATACAAAGTAGATCCTAAAAAAAAAAGCTATAAGATTAAAGTAAATTTTTATTATATTTTTTAAAATTTATTGTACACAATTATAATATTTTACCTAGAAGGAGAAAAATTGAGTTAAAAATGTGAAATGTTGATTTATTTATTTTTTTACAAATTTTAAATTATTATTTTATATGAGATGTTCTACGTAATATATCAAATATTATTTCTAATAAATCAATAACATTTTCCATAAAGTCACTTAAATATAATAATAAGTTAGTAAAAAAATATAATAGATTATAGTAATTAATAAAAAATATATAAAACAAACTTATAAAGATATAGATAAAATAAAATTATAATATCAAACTATCAATATTTATAATTACAATTGAAAGCATCTGCATAAAAAAATAGTTAAAGAAAAAATAATTTAGTAAATAGAAAAACAAAAACAGGTTAAAGAAAAAAAACTCAAATAAATATAATATTGATTGGTGAAGACGATGGCAGTATCTTATAGCAGTGGTGGATGTTCACCATTTACAAAATTTATACTGCATAAAAAAAATAGACAAGAAAAATAATAATTTAGTGAATAGAGAAAAAAAAATAAAAAAAAAAAAGTAAGAGATTAGAGAGAAAAACTCAAATAAATATAAAATTGATTGGTGAAGACGGCGACCTTCACTATATACGAAACTAAGAGATAAAATTGATTGGTGAAGACGGCAGCAGTATCTTCTAGGAGTGGTGGATCTCACATTCTCTTTAGAAGTTCACCTTATACAAAATCTATACTGTATAAAATTTGAAAAAAAAAAATAATTAAGAGATTAGAGAAAAAAAAAAACAAATGAGATATATCTAAATCTTCTTCTTGAGCAGTGCAAATTTGTATATACTGTGATTTCTTCTTCAGTCCTGCCATCTTCTTCTTCTATGAAGATTTGATTTTAAAAATAAAATCTAAACCATCCACTATTCATTATTATAAAACTGTTAAATATTAATTTCAAAACAAAAACTACCTATACTTTTTTCCGTAAAAAAAACTTATAAATAAAAAAAATAATTTATAAATTTCAAAAAATGAGAAGCCAACAATTTGAAGTCCATTCGCTATAGTTATATATATAGGATAGGATAAGATAAGATAGTAGTAGTAAATAGGGTTCAAAATAAACAAGTTCAGAAACTATATACTCCCTTCGTCCCATAACAAAATATCCATTTGCCTTTTGCGTCGTTGTATTTGATATTTAAAATATCTTTATATTTGTATAATTTTTTATATAAATGTCATTATATTAGTATTATAAGACACCAATAGAAGTATTTTTGTCATTTTCTCTTTATTTGTAATACGATTTGATATAATAATTAATATTCAAATATTAACTCATAAAAAGTAAATGAATAACTTGTTATGGGACGAAGGAAATATTATGTATACAAACACGTGACATCCGGAAGATGTGCACCCTTACATAACCTCTCTCTCTCTATACATATATCAATTTTTTTATTAACTAAACATATTGTAGGTATATCTCAATTCCAGATCCTATGTTTAATTTCAATTCTTCTATTATACAATTCTAATAAATTTTTATAAAAATATAATATATCCCCGTTCGTTAAATTTTTTTTTTCGTCGTTCATTAAATTTACCTCATTATTATATTCTAAGTATTCAACAAGTCAATATTTAATTTTTACCCTTCATTCAACAATTATTTATAATAAATA